TGTTATATGGAGCTGCTAATTTTAAGTTGAAGTTGTATTTCTGTATTCCACTGTAAAGCTATAGGTTCATTTGTGAGTTAAGTTTTGACACATGTAGTGAGTTCAGGTGGATTTCACTTGTTGACATTCTTCACTTTAAGCAACATACGAGGATAAAGTTCCAAAGTGTTCCCAACTGTGTAATTATAAGTGCAGGTTGGAGAGCCATTTTATATGCTTGTAACCAATGTCTTTTGCAAAGAATGAGTTTCAACAGCTCAAGTGGCAGCTAACACAAGTGTTGAAAGCAACTCTCTTTGTAAGCAGGAGTATTTTACATCCATCTGTAATTCTCAGATTAATTCCATGAAGTCTTAAGGGTGACAAGTTTGTCTTGTTAAAGCCAGTTTCTACGAAGTCTTTCGATATTATTTTTTGCAGCTGGTAAACGGGCATGTATAACATCAGTAATGGTGTTGTTAATATTAACATCTGCTTACTGTCACTTGCATATTATACTGTAGTTGTTATTGCAGTGTTCATCTGGGTTATATGGATTTGCACAATAGTACAACTTGCTTCACCTGCAATACAAAATAAAGATAATAGTCGCATATGTGAAAGGTATGAAAAGGGTATGAAAATGAATGTAGAAAAATGATACATGTAATGTATATCTTTAATTTGCTGCCCTTTCCCCTCCCCCCTTCCCCCCTCTCCAACCCCCAATAAAAATAAGCTACTTACCTAAATGTGGTGTCCAAGTGATATTTCTTGCTTTTCTGGAAAGGCTTTAAGAAAGGAAAAGCCAGTCATAAATGGTATGCTTTCCTTAAGAAACATTGGAGCTAAATTATCTCTTTGACCTGAAAAATTTATTCTTATGTACAGAATCTGCAAATTCTGGTAGAGTTACATGTAATTTTGAATCTCTATAAGGACTAGGAATTTAAGAACATGAAAAGCACAGGAAATCAAAACCATTCTTTATTTCTGCCAATAAATGTTGTGACTGTTTTCTATATGTGATTCAAATAGTTGCTTGATACACTTAGATATTTATTTGGTATGTAAAGTTACATATTCAGCTAAATTAAATATAATTATAATGATCTCATATGATGCACATGGTGAAATTTTTTTACCAAATATTCAAACAGCTTTCATGGAAATATAAATAGGCTTATGATCACTGTAGTAAGACTCCAGGGTACCTGCTGATTGTACAGATTGTGGTATATTGGTATAAACATGATCTATCTGTGTACGGTAGTCAGCAGTATACTGGTTAATCAACTGAGTATATCCTTTGTCTGTTATAAGATATTTTGTTAAAGCTTTTTGTTCTCTATTTGCCTGCATTAATTAGATCAATATTGAAATCCCCAAGTAGTACAGTTGGAATTGTGGGTTCTATTAATACCGAGTTGTGAAGATGAGTATAAAGAGCATCAATTAACTGTGAAATTGTAACTTAAGTTTTCAAGCAGTAGATACCAATGACATGAATATTTGGAATTGGTTGGCTTAAAACCATAACAGTAATTTCCAAATTATTAAAGTTACATCTGTATGGAATTTTAGTACAATTTAAATCATTCTTAATGTACACAGTAGTTCCATAGCAAGTTCTTATGTTAGACTGACTAAAGTCATTTCTGTAAAGAGTAAATTCATGAAGCTGATATGTATCATCTCTATCTGATAAGCAAAGTTTTGATTCAACAAAAATGTTGACATCAGCTTTTTGAATGTTGTAATCACTTTGCACATCAT